GTGCTTTGAAATGCTGTGCTGCCTCCTTTGTCTGTCTTCTTGCAACTAAGGAAGAGAGATCAATCTGAAAGCTTGATCCAAAAGATAAATGTCCAGTAAATGTTAACAGTGATGCAGAATCAGCCTATTTGACAGTTCTGATATATCGAGGATTAATCTGGGTTTCAATTTTAAGTCTGCTTTTAAAATGCTCATAAATATGGTGACTGCCTCTTCAAGCATTACATTCCAACTTTTCTTCCTAATGTCTTTTTTCCCTTTGGAAAAGTAAAGCAGTATTTCACTCATTTTAAGGCCGAAGCTGTTGCAATGAAAATGGCTTCCTTTCATTCTCAGCACTTTCCCAAAGGGATCTCAGACTTGAGTCAGTCTCTGTGTGTCAGCGACCCTCTGTTTGCTTCAACATACTTTGAACTTAAAACCAAATGGTTTTCCTGCTAAAGTAAAACAATTTCCTGTAAATAAACATAAATGCAGGTTGTGGAGATGGAATCATCTTCTGTAGAAGTTTTCTTCTCTCAGGTCACATTCTGTTTATATTTTACCTAAAGCACAGCATTATCGTGTGTGTTTCAGGAGAGTATGTCCTCTTTGTTAACAGGATAGGTAATTACAGTCTAACTTGATTAGCATTTTTAATCCAAAATGTAGCACATTGGTAGCTTGATAATTTAGCCTATTAAACGCAAACATCCCTCTTTCACAGGAGAGAGTGTTCTCTTGATAAAGAGATTGCTGCCAGCGGCTATGCAAGAGAAATGCAGGAAGATGATGACCTGCTTTATCCACCAGGTTCTGACAAGGATGACAACACAACAGAGGTACTAGAGCTTGTAGAAGATGCTGAGAACGAACTCAACTTCTTCAGCAAAGATGGAGAAAATAATGAAGACATGTATGAAGTCGGTGATCTGTCTGAAAGCAGGACCTCTGACAACGCTGTGTGTAGCAGTGAGGAAGAGGCTGATACAGATGAAAGTAGAGAAAATACACAAAGGCTGAGTATGGCAGAGTTGAGTTCAGCTTTGGAGAAAGCTGGAGGGCAGGCTATGCTTTGGAAATGCAATGGAGATGCAGAGAGTTCAGCGATTACTTCTTTTAAAGGCAAAAGCAAAAACAAAAGTGCTGCTGAAGTGGAAAATCAGAGGGGTCAAAGAGGGTCCTGTAAGGACAAGGAGAATGAAGATGAGTGCCCAGAGCTGGTTGACTCGTCAACTTTAAATGAGGATTTCAGGCATTACAGGTAAAGATTCATAATTACTATCTGTGGTTCCTCCCTTCCTCCCAGTAAAAGCAAATCTTTCAAGCAGCTCAAGAAGGACTGCTCTTCAGCTACCCTTGTTTAAACTGAAGACTAAAATACAGTTTATTTTGAAAACATTGCTGTGAATATCTTTCTCGTTGGTCTTATGATTGTCTAGCTGTGTAATAGTGTCTAATGAGAAAACAAGTGTTGCACTTCATAGACCAACCTATTTTCTGTGGTGGTTTTTCCCCCCTTTTTTACTTCCATTAATAGTGGTAGTGGAGTAGTTCTTTATGTTAAAATACTACTTCTTAATAACTTTTATGAGTAAGTTTATAATTAAAATACTCTGTGTCAAAGTGTTCTGCTGCTTACTCAGCTGAAGTTAGCTAAAACAAGTGCCTTGGACTGTAATATTAAAATATGTTGCACTGTTTGTTGTTCTAGCTTTTAATTCCTCTCCCAACATACTTAGAAATTCCTGCTTACCTTCCAACTAGCCCCTTGTATGTGAAATTTAACTCCTGAGTTTGCTAGCCCGCCATGTACCTGGATGCACAGATCAAGCTCACAGTCTTCATCTGGTTTTTTGCTTTTCAGTTAAAAGACTCAATAACTCAATTCAGTTAAATGACTCAAAACATTGTGTAGGATCTAAAATGTTTCTTTTTAGTGCCCTGAGGCTTCTCTTTGTGTGCATGATACATGTGACTGTTGTGCTACAAATTTCTTCCTTTCATGAAATGCCTGTTTTGAAAAACTAGTGTTAATATTTAAAATAGAAATATTTTGTAGCACTTGGCATGTTCTCTTGTGAGTTTTCAGGTTATATCCCAGAAGGTTAAGACTCAAACACGGTGCTCATAAAGGCAAAGGATGTTTGTCTTGCTAGTGGAATAATACATTGATGTATGTGTTTTATTAGTGAGGAGTGTGTCATTCCTGTTGCTGGGCACAGAACAAGGACTAAAAGTATCTCATCAGTGAGAAGTGTTGGGAGCTGCTCCACCATTCCTCCGGTAAATACTGTTGTTGTTATGCTCCTATTACTCTCAGACCATGTTAAATTGCACATAGCTGCCAGCACCTATTTGTAAAACTGTCCTCTGGCATTTATCATTTTTACAAAGACTGTTACCATGTCATCCATAGCAGAATGAAGCACAGGTGCAAGTACCATGAAATTTCATAAAACTACTGCAGTTCTATGTAAATGGCAGTCACTGTTTTTCAATGCTTATACTGTGGAGGCAGGAGACAGTCCTGACCTTGTGAATATTAACAGGAGAGAGCCTCACAACAGGAAAACTGGAGCAGGAATTGTAAATCACTCCTGACTGCCCATCTGCCTTAGCCACACTTGTGGCAAGGAGTTGTTGTTTTGCGTTAGAAGCACTCAGATCTTTGTAATATAAACTTTAGGAAAACCAGAGTGCTGACAAAAAATAGACACAAACCAAATAATTACTGCTGGACATGAAGTGTTCTAGAAGATTATCAGCTTTTACATTTTTGTGGAAGGAATGTGTTCTGCATCAAGAGGTACTGGTCCTTTATCATCTCTTTAAGAAAAGACACTTAAAACTCCGTAAGGCAGGATTTAAAATGCTATTTATTAGACCTAAGACTATGAGAAGACAATAGGATAGATAACCCCTTTAGATGCTGGGAATCCTTGGGGTATGGCATTTAACACACATGTAGCGCTCCATGCAGACTTTGTCCATAGCAAAGAATCTCCCTTTTCAGTCAGCTGATTTGTTTTATAATTTTTTTACAAGGAAGCAACTCTGCTCATCCTTTCTGCAGTCTTGTTCGTGTTGGTGCTGAAAAAGTGCTGTTGTTGTGTTGTGTCGTGGTGCTAAATGGTCTAAAGACACTTCTGATGCCGAATTGTTTGTTTGTAGGAACTGGTGAAACAGAAGATAAAACGTCAGCTGACCAAGCAGCAAAAGGCTGCTCTGAAGCAACGACTGCAAAAGGGAGAAGCAAATGTTTATACCAAACAACGCAGGGAAAATATGCACAACATCAAGTCAAGCTTGGATGCAGCCAATTTCTGGGGATAATTTATTAAAGCTGTTGTGGAACGTGAGAAATGTATACAGGTGAAAGAATGAAGCTAATTTACCAATACTTATCTTTTATAATGGAGCAGTTTCTTCTATGCAAACCCTGTGTTTTTCTGGAAGTTAATAAACCTCATTCTGGTTCCTGCAATTTTGACTTGGGGGAATTGTGTTTTGTGTTTCTGGTCAAAACCATTGACTGTAATTTACATTGTATAAGTGGTACTGGTTAAGATCACGGCAGTGATTTCCAACAGTATCTAGTTGTAAATCAATTGTACTTTGTAGTGCAGAGGATTTCTCTTAAGAGGGAAAGAAGGAAAATTTTTAAAACCAATTTCTGCAATTACACAAGATTTAAATACATGCATATGATGAATATGCATTCTCTGAAGCCAGCAATTCTCATATTTTCCTTCACTCTGGTATGTCACATAAGGATATCAACAGAGCCTGGCCATGGTGTCTCCACTCCACCCTCCATTTCATCCCCCTTAGCATGTGCTTAAGGCTGCAGATTGTGCACATGGGGAGTCATCGTGGAATAGGTTCCAGGCATGCTCTGCATTCCATCTGACTCCTAGCACATTACAATCCATGGAAAAGGATTCAATTTCTGTTTTCTCTTGGAATTCAGATCTGATTAATTCAGATGCATCTGTTAAGTGAAGGCCACTACACTTTCCGAACACAAAATATGTAGATAATGATTTGAATGAAGTGGCTAGTGAAAATAAACATGCCAGATCTTCGCATCAGAAAACATTTTTCTGTGAGTGTGATTGAAGCATTTGGATGAGATTCTTTTCTCACTTATGGTACCATAAGTCAATGGCAACTTCACTGAACTCAGCAAACAAGCCCAAAATTTAGTTTACTCGTTCCTCCCCTACTTGCAATCAGAAATTATGTAAGGTTTCAGGAAAGACAAGCTCTTTGTTAGTACCAGTCTTGACCTTTGACTCTACAGTTCTTTGTTTATAGTAAGGCTAAAAATGAATTAAAAAATTATCCTTGGTACCTATGCAAAGCTTCAGGAAGAGATTAAAGTGGAAAAACATAACTCCCTTGTAATCAGGATATTTTACTGTGTTTACATGCTGTATAGAATAGGAGTATTATATATTTATAGTATTTTAAAACCTTTTAGTCTCTAAAATGCCATCAGATACACTGTGATTCCCAATGGAAAGTCTTAAACATTTAGTTTAGCTTATAAAGTGAAGTTACTGACATTAAATAATATGAACTTTGTAGTGTGTCTTGTTAAACAAGCCCTATTATTGCTCCCTAATTGTAGCATGCTCAACCTTTACATTCCGTGAAAAGTGTTACATGTGAACAAATCCTAAATCTGTGGTGCAGACACATATGTTGAAATGGAATATATTTAGCATAAGTTAGTAAATGATGAAGTTGTTCTGTGTTGCTGTCTGCAATGTGGGGAGACCAGCTGGCCCAGCCTCCAGCAGCATTTTAAACCCTTATGCAGGCTGGTGTGTCCCAGAATTCGATGGCCAACATCTCAGCTCAGGTAAGATGTAATGAAAATAACTTTGGTTGCTTGTAAGCAATTTTTTTCAGTAGTGAATACTTCAGAAAATAGGCTTTTCTATTCCAATCTTAAAACCTTTATTGCATTTGCAACTGGCTATTTTGAATGCAGCAGGAATTGTAAAGCTGGATGTTTTTAATTATTATTTTATTAAAGAATCATTGAAGTATAGCCTTTCTCCCTTTTCATCCACAAAATAGAAGTCTCTTGAGTTATATCTCTGGCAGTCTAGGAGTGGTGAACCTCTGAAAAGATGAGAGTTTACACTATTAGCTAGCAGTATCAAAAAAAGAAGAAAAAAGGTAATAACAGGAAAAAAGTCCTTTTAGCAAGTACTAATTTAATGACATAATTAAATCCTAAAGGCTGACTAATGTCAGGAAGTTCAAAAGGCATCATATTTAAGGTAACAGATGCTAATTCTTGAATCCCCTGACTGATGGCTGATTCCATTTAAGCCTGTTCATGGGGCTTTTGTAGTCCAGAGCCTCTAAAGTATCATCTCATGAATCTTAACCTGCATATAATACCTAGTTCCCACTGACAGTAGTGAAGAATGCAACGTAGGCACAATTATCTTAGTTCTGTTCAGGAATGTGAATTTTGCAATAAGTTTTCCCTAAGTTTTATAAAAGATTTGACAAACACTTCTTATTTGAAGTCATATGTTCCAAAAGTCTTTTAACAGCCTGGGGAATGCTCACGCTTTCAAGAGCAGAAAGGTTTTTACATTTTAAGGGCAGAAAAATGTAGGCGTCTGAGGACCTTCAGAATTATTACAAAGCAATATTAGTCTTTCAGAAGATATTACTGATACATATCTGATGCAATGCATCTTTTAGCCAGTTTTATTTCATACAACCCTTTGCCTTTTATTGGCCACAATACTGAATACATCCAGTATATGTATTGGATATATCTGGATCATGGTCAATCCAAAGTTGCAGCTTTGAGAAGATTTTAAGCTTTTGACTATGATTAACTTGAAATTGTAATTGTTATTCTATTCTGGGAGCTGTTAAGTTGGTAAATAGTTAACTGGTTACTGAGCTAGTTAGATATGAAAAAAACTGAATGGCATGCAAGAACTATTTTGTTGAAGACACTGGAAGCTGTAGACTAGAGGAGTGTAATCAAAACCTCAATAGTAGAAACCAAGTGGTATTATACTTCGCTTTCCTTTTGTTTGTTTTTCTGTCCACTCCCTGTGAGCAAAAAACTTATGATGAAGATGTGTGTGTGAAGGCAAAAGGGAATGCAGGGATGGACGTCCCATTGTGACACCACTGGTTGGTGGATACATCACGGGGTGGTGGATTGTGACATCACCAGGGAATGGATTGAGACCTTGCATTCCTTGCTATTCATGTTCAGGTGCAAGACGTCCCATTGTGACATCAGTGAGTGGCAGATGTGACATGATTGTGATGTCATGTCCCTCTCTGATTATACCTGGGTGCTGCCAGAGCCTGGGTCAGATTGACTCCAGCCCTACAGTGCCTGTGAGTGGGAGCAGCTCCTGGTCCTCAGCTCCCCCCCACGTGCTGGGACCAGACATGGCCACGGAGACACAGTGGAGCTGCCCCATCTGCCACAACACTCGGAATGATGTGGCTTCCATTCTGCCCTGCCGCCACCAGTTCTGCCTGGGCTGCATCCTGCGGTGGGCAAAGACAACCCCAGCGTGCCCACTCTGCAGCAGGCCAGTGGAGACTGTCAGGTTCTCTGAGCGGGGTGAGCAGGATTACATCCAGTTTGAAATCACAGCCCCCAAGGAGCAAACGGAGACCAACCACCAGGCAAGGAGAGCTCGCTTCTGCCTGGCTGAGAACAGCCCCCAGCGCCCTGTGGTGCCCAGTCTACCTTCTCCACAGGGAACACTGTCCCCAGCTGGACAGGAGGATGCAGGGACAGAGCCCGTGGGTGGCATCCTGCCTGAGGTGTGGGCAGCACTTTTCCGTTGCCGACAGCACCTCCTGGACCCTGCACGGTCCTGGCTGCGCCAGAGGCTGGCTGCACTCTACGGGGAGCAGTGGTGGAGGGTAGAGGCTGCAGAGGGATCCATCCTGCACGGCCTCTGCACCTGCGGGCTGCATGCTGAGGTCCTGGTGGAGGTGCTGGAGCCCCTTCTCAGCAGGCACACAGCACCACTGATCCATGACATCATCAGTGTCATCGTGAGCCAGTGCAGCCAGGAGGCACAGAGGCTGCAGGGCTTCCATCACACCAGAAACGAGGACAACAGGCCTGCGGCCAGTGCCGGCTCCAGCAGCTCCCAGGACAGAACTCCCACCAGCAGCCCTGCAGGCTCCAAGGTGGAGGAGGGAGCTGGTACATCACGCACTGGCCTCCAAGGGAGTCCCAGCTGCCCCAGAGCTGTGCCTGATCCTGCAGAGCAGGACCAGCGCCAGGAGGGGCTGGAGCAGCCAGAGGGGGCAGGTCCCTGTGCCCAGGGCAGCAGCCACAGCCCTTCTGCTCCTTGACAGGGCAGGGACTACTCACCCAGGGGATCCCAGCAACCCTCAAAGAGGAGGGTCCCTAGCCCTCAGGATTCTCCTTAGCCGAGCAAGAGGTGGCCTCGCAGGTGGCAGCAGCAGGGCTCCAGAAACTCTTTAGCCAAGCAGAAGCAAATAAATTACTATTTCCCTGACAAAGTCTTGGGGTGCTGCTTTCTCCCCCTTATGGTGCCTTTCCCTGCCCCTCAGGCCCAACAGTCATCCGAGGGCCCACAGAGCTCCCAGGGCCATTCCAGCAGCACCTCCTCACACGGAAGTCCCACTGCAGCTGCTGTGGGGGAAGGGCTTCTAAAACACTGGTCATCCTGTGAGATGTGTGGGGCTGCCTGCAGACAGGACTCACCCCACAGGAGCCTGGGTGGCAAGAACATGCTCCCAGGAGGAGGCTACCTCACCTGGTGGCCTTCTCTGAGGGACTGGCCTTGTCCCAGTAGACAAGGGAAGGGTTGCAAGTGCCACTGATCTGGAATTCTGTGAGGCCTTTGACACAGTTCCTACAACATCCTTCCCTTCAATGGCAGAGAGATAGATTAGGACAAAGGATTAAAACCGAGTGTGGGTCAGCAGGTGTGTAAGCATAAATCCTGCTTAAAATAAGGAATCAAAATGTATCCTGAAAAGCAGGACCAGCGCCAGGATGAGCCATCTCTCTCCAGCCTGCTAATCACAGAGACATGGACATAGAAAAGGACTTGGAATGGTTGCCAGAGGCCAGCAGCCAGGCAGGGACAGCTGCCAGCACCCTGAAAACAGCTTTAGATATATCAGTGTCTTCAGGTTCTCTGGGGTTTCTTTGTTTGGTCGGTTGGTTATTTGGTTTTGTGTTGATTGGTTCATTCCAGATGATCTTCATTTTCATTAGGGCTCATTAGCTGCTGACACACTGCTTCAGATAAGTCTAGAATAAACATTTTCATGTATATTTTCCTCAGAACAATCATTTTTATCTTCCTTCTGACAAGAATGTTTAAACATTCTTTTAAAAAGATTTAATCTCTCAACTGCTGTGGGAGAGAGCAGGGTTTTTTCTGCATTAGAAAACAGTTGCTTAAACAGTACTAGGTGACTAATTTCCAAGTTATATATACACTCACAGCAGAGAAGCCTGTTATCATAGGGTAACCAGTTCTTTGACTTTGTCATGTTTAAATCCTAAGGTTTTTATTCCAGCATCTTTAAAATTGGCAGTGAATGTGACCGGAGAGCATCTTTTGGCATTACATGCCATGTTAAAAAGATTAGTAACCTTACTCTTCTGGTTTTTTTTTCCTTTTGCTGTTGTTTTCTTTGCCTTTGCTTGCAGGACTCTCTATTCCACATAGTCTTTCTACTGGAATCTCATTGCAGCTATACACTCATAATTTCAGAGGGGTCAGTAGTACTGTATCATATTTTTTCTAGTTCATGAACTTCATTAATTGTGACCTCTCTCATTAGTTTTCACACATTTTTATTTTGATTCATAATGATCGTCTTTGTTGTGGTATTTATCTACTCCCCTAATCCAATTCAATTAATACCACATTCACTTTGCAAAGTGATCAAGCATTTGAAATCTGTATTCATATTCCGCACACAGAATCACATTGCATAGTTTATGCTTTACGTTCAATTCAGAGATAGAAAGGTTGCATGGGAAAAAAAAAAGGCAAGCAAAAACTCTAGGTACCTGGAGAATATTCTTATCATTATTACAAATAATTACAGAAATTGAAAGGAAGAACGCAAATTTAATTCTCAGTGCAGTATCTATGACCAACTGGTAACTATAATCCCCAAGATTTAGTGAAGTGCGTAAATGTGAGCTAAATGTTGATGGACCGGAAGATACTGTTACTGTAAAATGCTAAAAATTTGCTGTCACTTCATTAAAAAAAACACAGAAACAAACAAACAAACGAATGCCCACACTTTTTTTTTTTTTAAATCTTACCTATAGTAATGTATTTTGATTTTTTTCTCAATGCCTTCTACCCAGCCAGTGTCCACCACATCCCCACCATGCTACATCCAATCAACTGTAGCAATCAAAGATAAAAGAGTGGACAAGTCTGTCACAAAACTGAGCCTTCTGAAAGAATGATTTCTGTTAGAGACTCCATCAGCTCTTTCTGATTAAATCTCTTTCCTCCATTAATTCCCAGTTCTCATAAATACTACACAAATTCATCCTTAATTAAGGGCCTTTTGTCATGGTGAATGTGTTTCTTTATACTCTGCTTGATTGAGTTGATTCTGAATTCGGCCTATTCTTTTGTTCTACTTTTTTTCTTAATTTTCAGATTTCTCACTCAGAACTACAATGCCACAATCAAAAGCTTAGCTTCTTAGGGGCTGAGGGCTCAGGCTGAAGAGTCATAAGCCATAATAAAAATAAAGGAGCAGTCACTAGGATTTCAGCAGAGCTTTTGGTTCCTAAAGCAGCTGACAAAGGACTGAGCTTTCACTGAGTTCATTAGGATCCATTGTGGAAAACAGTGTTTTTCACTAAATACATGCTTGGGTTTATATCTGAAAAACAGCGTCAAAAGGGAAGATTACTACAAAATCTCTTGTCGAAAACATGGATATTTGTATAAGTAAATAGACAGATGACATGAAAGCTGTTGTTCCTTTTATTTCAAAAAATGCTAATACAAATTTATTCCAATTTTATATTAACCCTTGTCGAGCAGAAAATTAAATAAAAGAAATACATGTATTAGTTGTATACATAAACAAGACAGAGATCCAATGGCTAGATCTAAAAGGATGAAGTATAAAAATTGTACAGTAACATCTCAATTGCACATTATCATGAAGCAAAGTAATCAGTATTTCAGGAAAGCAGTAAAGAAAGCAGTGATTAGACTTCGGGCAAACAAACATTTGTGCTAATACATGGATATACTACAGGGAAAATTTACAGATGGTAGAAGTCTGCATTATTTAAACACTTAAATCCACTTGTTTTCCCAGCTCATAGGTTCACATCCATAGCCTCCCAAAAATTCCTGAAAACACTGAAAGCAACGGAGTTCAGCTGAACTCTGCGTGGGGAGAACCTGTCATTAAGGACTGACCCAACACACAACTCAAAATTATTTCTTATTTAATTTTGTTTATTCAGTCAGCTACTTCTCTAATAGATTTTTTTTAACTGATCCGGATTCCATTTGCAAATAATTTTTGCGCTCCTCAAACTGTATTAGTTGATCAGTAACGCTGTTATTCTACTGAAAAGGTAAATTTGAAAAAAAAAAAAAGTAAAATACTTTAACTAACTTACCATTTAAATTAAAACTTTATATGTGCAAGTTTAAAATCTGACAAGTAAAAAGGACCAGACCCACCCCAGGGACCACCGCCGCCCGAGTCCCTCCCTCCGGGACGAGGAGCCGCCGCCCGGGTCCGGCCGCGCCGAGCAGCGGCCTCAGCGCGGGTCCCGGCGGGGTGAAGGGACTTGTGAGCCGCTGAAGGGACGGTGAGGCTGAGAAGGCCCGGGGCGGCTACGAAGCCGGTGGGGCTGTGAGGGCTGAGAGGGAGCGGCGAGGCTGAGAGAGTTGAGGGGGACTAAGGGGGACTGAGCGATGGCGGGAGGTGGTGGAGGCTGAGAGGGCTGGGGGACTGAGAAGGCTGCGGGCAATGGCGGCACCGGGGGCGCTGAGGGCAGTGGGGGCACTGGAGAGCTAAGGGCTGTAGTGGTTGTTCTGGGGGTCTGAGGGCAATAGCTTTGGGGAGTCTGTGGGCAATGGCTCTGGGGGTCCAAGGGTGATGGTTCTGGGAGTCTGAGGGCAGTGGGGGCCTGGGGGCCTGAGGGTGGTTCTGGGAGTCTGAGGGCGATTGGGGCTCTGTGGGCCTGAGGGCAGTGAGGGGCACGGGGGTATGAGGGCAGTGGTGGTGATAGGGACTGACAGCAATGGCTCTGGGGGTCTGGGACGATGGGGGTTCTGGGGGTCTGAGGGCAATGGCAGCACGGGCACACTGGTGGCGACCATGGTGCTGGTGGAGCCCTCGCTGCCGTGAGCCTGAGATTAGCAGCTCTTGAAGTTGTGTTTCAGGTGTTTGAGGAGATGCTTTCATCATCCTGCCCTGAAATGGCTGCCTTTTTGGAGGTAACTCTATTCCATAGCAATGCTGGGGTCCGGACTGAGAGTTTTTTAGTGTTGTTGCATGCCTGAGAAGTAAAGGCTTCCTTAGTTAAGCTTTTAATGGACGGTGAAGCATTTGCTTGGTAAAGCAAGATTTTGAAAAGAAGAGGGAATCAAAGATATTCCACATTAATGAGCATGAGACATGTTAGGCTGTGTTGGCCAAGTTTAGGTGCTCATTTTCATGGGGAAAATACATAGTGCAAGCGTATTTGTGGGGATGAAGTGGAAGCCTTTTAGGTTATAACTTAACCAAATCCGGGCTCTGCTTCTTTTGGGTTTGAACACAAAGGAAAAGCAAAAGCTGGACTGCACTTGCTGCTGCTGTGTAAGACCTGCCTTACGTATAGGCACTAACAAAAAGCCATGTTTGTGTATGTGTTGGAGCTGCAGTTTTATTATCCTCTCAGTATCTCGATGTCTTCAGTAAAGTTTCTAGCTGGGAAATCCTCAGGTGGTGTTCCAAACCACCTCAGGTGGTGTTCCAAACCAGTGTTCCAAAGTGTTCCAAAGATTAGTTCATGTTCCTCTTGGGTGTCTCCCTAGAAAGAGATGTGTACTCTGATCAAGTCCCTGCAAAGCTCCAACCTGGATAAGATTGTTTTGCTCATGGCAGTGTGGGGAGGAGCAGGTCACTGTGCCAGCACACAGGGAGTTGGCAGGACTTCTTCCTTAGTGTCCTCTCAGTGTATTGTGTCCTGCTCATTAAACATTGTCAGCTGTGACAGCTTTTGAACTGCATTTGGGAAGTTTATCTTTTCCATTGTTGAAGGCCCAGACTTTAGGGCCCAGACTTCCTCGTCAGGAATGAGGGATTAAGTGTGTGAGTCATGGAGTTGGGGTGCAGGGTGTTTGAGGCCTCTTGACCTGTGTGATTGGTGAGAAGGCAGATGTTGATCACGGATGTGAAGTGGTTAAAGACCTCGGGTTTATTTTGTGCTGAAGAGCAATTCAGGGACTATTAGGCCTTTTGTTTGACAGATTCCCTCTTTTGATTAGAAGTCCCCT